GAAAGATTAAAAATAAGGTTGTCATGGAAACGCATATCGTTGTAATTATTTACCATAATATGACAAAGCAACACTATCAACTGAACTCCGCTCAGAATAGTTTTTTCATTAGCAATGGTTTATCGTTGCTTACAGATATACATTAAATTCCTGTCTATATCTTACCTTCCAAACTTCCCATCTGCAACAGTGGCTGCACCCACGTGCGAAGTATGTCCGTCGTTTTTTATGTACTGTTTTGGTTACAATATGGCCGTAAAAAGTCTCAACGAATTCTGAAATAAACTAAAAAAACAAAAACGAATGACGTACCAAACAATGGGGGTTCTTCGAGAAACCAAAAATCCAAAAAATCGCGGGTTAGTGTAACGTACGTCATTTTTCAATCAATAAGTTTTCATTGTCTCATAAAACTTCCTCTCACGATGTTTCTCGTTCACAAAAATGGGTCACGCGCAGTACCTGCAGGACATTTCGATAAGCCGTATATTATTATACGGCAACATTAAAAACGAAAATGGCATCTCCGTCGTACCTAACTCATAATATAGATTACCGAAAACATAATATTAAAACCCGTAAAAATGTTATTAACCGCCGCCGCGCGTTTACGTGTTCACGATGTCGTTAAAACGTTGCCAAAAGATCGGCAGACGGGTTTTTTTTTCCTGTTCTATTTATTAGTTTATTATACTCGTATGTCCCTGTAAAAACACAAGGGTCGAGAACCGTTTTCATTTCGTCGGGTAAACATCACATATATAGGTACTTTATATACTTAATATATTATAGTGTATTATAATTGAGTAAATTAAATTTTAACCGCATGTAAAACTTTGTTGTTTTACTGCGTTTGAAAAAAAAAAAAAACTCCACGGTCTGCTCGAACGAATAAAAATTAGTTTTTTTTTTCCCAGTTAAGAGATATTTCGTAATAAACGTATACACACTATATACCAATAGAACTCTGGTAAGAAAAATATAGTTTTTATTTTTTAGTTTTCGTACTAATATCTAATATATCCCTCTTATTTTTGAGGGTGAAATGACTGCCGACTTTTGATTTTCAAATGGCAACCTGTTTCGAAAATATCTTAAAAAGATGGATTATTATTTAAAATAAATTTTGGTATTGAAATTTTCGATTTCCGTCAACCTGTTGACAAGATATTTCACATTTAATTTTGGGTTAGAGGTGAGTAGCGGAGTATCATTTGTGTGGCGGTACGGCGCGCGGCGTATTAATAATGCACCACTACTCTCCTACAAACAAAACTTAAAAGTGGAATATCTTGTCAACGGGTTGGCGGAAAACAACATTTTCAATATCAAAATTTATTTTATAAAAATAATCCATCTATTTAAGGCATTTTCAAAACAGGCTGCCATTTGAAAATCAAAAGTAGGCAGTCGTTTCAATCCCAAAAATAAGAAGTACAAAAAAAAAAATGATAACTCAACATTTTAGAACTGTTTGAATCTTAAGTTTACAAAAAAAAAAAGTTAATACTTTCCAAGATAATGAGTGTTTCAAGTTGAGTGAATCACCATGTTTATCTACTCATATATTGAACAGTAATTATGATGCGTTGTGTGAATTTTAAATCGAACGTAGTTTTCGTGGAAAAATAAATTTTAAAACATATAAATGTGCGTATAAAAAGTTATTTCTATAAAAGATTCATAAATGACTTTTAAAAAATAACTTAAATTTTAACAAAATAACTTAGCTACGTTAAAATTATTTATTAAAGAAACTTAAACTAAGATATTTTCTAACATTCTGTTCGGTAATTTTTCAGCTAGTCAAGTTAAAATTTATCAAAACAAAGAAACTGTTTACTTTTCAATTGGTTATTGTTCATCATTGAATATAATACGAGTTCAGCAGAGACAGCTTGATATAATAGATTTTGTGGTTAGAGTAGTGTATAAAATAATACACAGCCCACCACCGCAAGTAAAATACACCCCGCATACAATTTGGTTTTTAATTTTATAATTTACTACTAAGTACTAATTATGTCAATTACAAAAATAAAAGATAAAACAAAAATGTCAACAAAAAATACTCTAGAGTACACCTACAAATACGCAAAACGCTAAATTAAGAACAACTATTTTACTAAATGTAATTATTGTTATTTATGTCTGACGATTATAGGATAAAGGTACGGGTTTCAATTAAACCATTGCGATTTCGCATAAAACATTGTTCGTTGAATTATTTCAACATTTGAACTGTCGAACGCCCGTCCATTTCAAATTGTTAGTGGTCTAGTGAACCGCAAATACTTATATTCATATTACGTGTCATTAAGCCGCCTCCGGTGCACAGTGTGCGCTACATGGATGTACAATCAAACGATCGAGGTTTTAAAAAAATAACAATTATAAATAACCAAAACTGTTGTGTGATGGTCACAATGCTACAGACGCGTTGAATCTTTTTGTTCGGCGATTTTTACGCCGCCGTTGACATCCCTCGGCTTCGCTTCCGCCGCAGCAGCTGACGATGATGCGCGGTCGTTGGTTTCAGAATATTTCCTGCGAACTGCATAACCGGAAAACCTATGTCGTCGTAATATAATAATGATCGAAGTTTCTGTTTTTTATACAATATCATACCGAAGATTTATTCATTAAACTGCATCACTTACTTTTCGTTCAATAGTGTTTTGATTAACAGCCCTGATGGCGCTTCGACAATTAAGTACAATAAACCGCCAATCAAATAGGTTCTGACCGCACCGAAAATCCATCCGTTGATCTGAAAAAAAAAAACCATCCAAATTTTCTTCAAATCAATTCGATTTCCGACTATAAATTAAACGCGATAATTATTATTATTTATTTCGCAGATATACCTATATAATATTACAATACCTAAACCTAATTATATACATAAGGACTGAAATATTATATTTTATACTGAAAAATCCAAAAGCCTTTTTTTCGCCGGTTATTTCCCGCACAAGTGTGGAAGAGTTTTGAAAAATGTTTATAATTTTTAATTTCAGAACTCGTACCTCTGAATTTATTATTATTATTTTTTTACACAAGGGTTTTCTCTTTGTTAATATTACACTAAATTATTATAATTCGATTTTATATCTGTCATATTTAAAGTATTTACAACTTGTGTTCTATAAATCGATAAGATTTGATATCTCAACACAAAATTTTAATTTGTTTTTTTCCAGGCGTGGTAAAATTATAAAAACATTTAAGCCATTTTGAGCCATTTATAGTTTATATTTTAATTTTGCTAGGTTTTTATAGATTTTTTATTTGTTAAGTACTCTGTGGATAAAATTTTTAGACTCTGTACTAATTGAACTTTTTGATAGGAATATCAGTTAAAATTTAGTACTTAGTCGTCGAAAAAAAAATTGAACAATGCAGGTTTTTTTTATAAGAGTTTTAATATCAAATTTCGAAGAAAATCGTACATCCTTATGGCCTTTCAAAACATGTATAACTGAACTGCACTCAGCATCGTTTTTTCGTTAGTAATGGTTTATCATTGTTTACAGATATACATTAAATTACCTATAACAGTGGCTGCACCCGTCTCTATTATCCTGGGACGTTTTTTTTTTTTTAAATTCATTGTTTTTGTATAGGTATTCTATATTTTCGAGCTAGTGTATTCCTTATAGTTTAACTACTACATATTGTAGACGTTTTGATGATCACTTTTTAACGAACATTATTATTTTTTGTCTACAATATTGTATTAGTTCTTTTTATCATTTTTTTCTAAACCTTGTTGATATTTTATACGGTACCCAATTAAAATAGGAATCGATTAATTACTCTGTGTTATTAATATTTTTTTTTTAAACAAATGTCGGAATTCTGAAGACACAGGGGTTTACACGAATACATTCATTCTTCATTACATCTAATATATAATATGTATCTGATCAATTTGTTTTTTTTCTTTTCGATTTATTGTACGTGTTCCTCACTACTCTATAGATAATCTTATGAATCAAACTCTATTCATCATATTATTATACTATATTCGGTACGTTTTTTTTTCGAATGTTATGATGATTTATCATCGCTCTGATATGTATTATAATATAATATACTAATAAAACATTGACTTGCACTTAAGCAAACAAAGCGAGACGGGCTTAAACTAAAAGCCATATATTAAAATATATTGTCAGTCTTTAAAATCCGTATACAGTATATAATTACAATAAACAGCAAATATAAACAATAATATTAGGTTTATTTTGAAACGACAAAAAACGTTTGGATAGCAATAATATTTAGAATAATAAAAACAAAAAAGCATACATATATAATAATACGAACGAGTATTATTACTGCAAACAAGTATAGTCTATAGATATATTATATTATAATTATTATAAGTTATACACTTATAACCAATACAGATTTCATTATATAAACGGCAAATTAAATTAACAAATGCTATTCTATATTATTTAAATGGAGAAACTGATTGACTGATCCAGGCTGACAGTCTAAACCGTTGGGGTTAGAAACTTGAAACTCTAACAGTAGGTACCTTTTATACTGTAGGCATCCACCAAGAATGGATTTTTGAAAATGTATATCCTAAAGGTGTAAATATAGTAATATATTTTTCATATTATTATAAAAAATAATTTATATGAAAATCCATAATTTTTGAAGTTATAAATTAAAAAGGGTACTTCCTCAGTGGAAGTACCCTTTTCAAATGATAATTTACCGAACAACAGTCGCGATTAACTGCAATAGTGATAAAGGTGAAAAAGGGGAGACACCTTAAATCAAATCCTTTTTATATTGATAACTATTGTTGAAAGGATCGAGCCCGGGAAATAACGGGTATTTAAGCTGGTCTGTAATAATGGTTATTATCTATTAAATCTACTATGGAGATTTAATAATATTCGTGATATATATATCACGAATAAACGATTTTCTCGGCGAATTTTAAGAGAATTTGATTTCTATTCATTTGTTTTGACAATTGTGGAATCGTTTAAGCTTTAATTCAACACTGTTTTCAGTTTTTTACTCCTACTCTTATTATTCTATATTAGTTTAAAATTTAGACAGGAGAAATTGACAAGGGTAATAAAACGCATAATAATTTTAAGCAGATAAATTGATAACCTTTTTCTATGCCTCCGGTCTAAAAATTAAACTGGTTTATTTTATAACTTATAAAGGATAAATCCATTTTGTATCAAAATGTTTTAAAACTATTTTTTATTCGAATCTATATAAATTGTAAGGAGATTACTATTTAAAAATCTAAAGTATATATATAATTAATTACTTTATTTTAATCGTTACAATAAAAGCTTTCGGGAGGTTTAAAAAAAAAGTTACTTAAAGTATAAGAAACTGGGGTGAAAAATTGAAATTGTCTTCAAATAAGCTTATATTATTTCATAATGATTGAAAAATCAAATCAATGTCACTTAAAATCCCCCGAGAAAATTAATAGTTATGATAAATGGATCTCAGTGTGTAATCATATGGCTTCACGTTATTCTTTTCCACCCGAGTACATAAAGCCTTAAATGTTTTTACTTTATTTAAAGTTAATAAATTAACAATATAGATATATTGTTCATAAAAACACGTAAATGTAATTTTATTATTGTAACCAATTTCATTAACTTACAGTACTTTTCCCTGATATTATATGTAATTTAATATTTATAATTATGAAAAAAGTGGCCCTCATATACTTTATACCTTTGCATTACGAAATGTGCAATTCTGTTTCTCGTGTTTTTATGATTTTTTTTTTTGATTTTTTAAATACTCGAGATTTATACTGTAGATTATGTTTTACTCGGGTCTTTTGCTGCTGCACAATAAATACGTATTCTATATTATTTACATTTTAATACAATCTGTCAAATTATCCCATCGGTTCAAACTCTTAACGCTATATTAAAATCACGATTATTAAGTAGGTAGTATCAATATTTACTTACCAAGAACTCTTTTGAAGGGTACACAGCAGCCCTTTGTCTGCTCTCTATCATCATCATGACAGTGATGTTGACAAGATAAACTGCGTAGGACAACCTGCCCAAGGGCACCATTAATCTATTGTTGAACAATTTTTCTATTGGACCTATGTTAATATTAAAACACGTAAACAAAACGCATAACTGCTCGAAATTCGTGTAAATCAAAATGTTATATTAGTTTAAGTATATTTAAACTAAATCGCAGTGAACTAACCGATTCGTTTGTGATTTGTTCAGACTGAGTGCAAAATGTTTTTATAAATTCAGAAATTGTATACTAGTATATACTCACAGCTAAATGAACTTACTGTTCAGTGTGATTTTTAAGTATCAAACTCGGGCTTGGTATAGCAGTATTTTATTTGTGCTACCAATTTCAGATCAATGTTATAATTTATCTCTATTCTCTGTATTATCGACTATCGTTTCCTCTCTATAATTATATAGATATAATATTTTGATTTTTAACTTCGACCCATCAAATATTTTAGAAAATGCTAATGATAATGAAATATATTAACGGCATTCTCAGATTTAAAAACACAAGCTTATGGTATATTTTCATCACGGATACCCTTGTAATGGTATTGAAAAAAAATGTATTCAAGTGCCCATATTAAAAATACACCTAATCTTTATGTGTACATTTTTCCAATAAAAAAAAACCGGCAGAATTTCAATAAATCCATTATTATTTAAACGTCATAAAAACGGGGTGAGCGTGCTAAACAAATTGCACCCCGCATTATAAAATATCCGGTCGGTGAAAACAGATGACGATTTAATATTAATTGACAATTGTTATTTACATAATATTATCATTATTATCTTATTCGTTTACATATTATTATATAGACAGGTCGCCACGTACCGTAGCCCGAAGTGAAATGACACAGTGTAACCCAAAATAGTATGACGGTCCACGTGCAGTGACTGAGAGTCGCGTATAACGACTGTTCGAGTACGCTGTACGGCCTGTTTACGTCGTAGAACACGGCTCCGTACAATTGAACCCAAACGCAAATCGCGCTGATGATAATAGTCCCGGCATAGACGATACGCTATTAATAAAAGAGGAGAAAAAAAACCAATCATTTTTATCAGTATATAATATAAATTAGATACAGGGGCGTTATTTGGGGGCAGGGGAACAGAAGTATGCATTTTACCCAACCATAGATTTTCAAGTAGCTTTGGGCCGGCTGCAGCTGGACCGGCCTAAGAGCCGTTTCGGGTCGTGACACAACAAACATTTTTTTCCCCCGGATTTTTCTATTTGTTAGGAAAACTCGTGGGAAAATCAAAAAGTCACCTCCTTAAAGTACCACCTCGGTCAAATTTTCTTTGTTATAAGTGCTCTCATAGTCAATTGGAGTAAAATTGCTGGTAAAAAAAATTGTTCACAGGTAAAAAAAAATTAAATATCATTGTAAAACTAATATATTTCTCGCTCCACTCAGAATCTAAAAATTCAGTGTAATGTAGAATATTTTTTTTTTTTAAGAATTTTAGAATCAAATTTCGACGAAAATCGTAAATATTACAACCTTTCAAACAATGTATAAGGTATAACCGAACTCCACTCAGAATCGTTTTTAGTTAGCAACGATTTATCAAAAATTAATCAAAACATTAAATTCTCCTATTCTCTTCTAAAAACTTCTCACCTACAACAGTGGCCCATCCATCACACGAAGTAAGTCCGTATTTTTTTGTTTAAATTTAAAATAAATGTGAATGCAAATTTAATTTTGAACGTAATTGTTCATTGGTTTTATGAATGTATAATGTATACAATTAATTATTATTTATTTATTGGCCATTTTTATGCCCTAGTGTCCTACCTCAGCTAATATTGAAATTACGCCCCCATCTAAATTAGGTAAATTTGATTACTATACGATACCGGAGAGAATTTTACGGCTCGTTTCTTCAGCTCTTCTACCGTTACGCCGGCCAACAGACCGGCGTAGTACGGCGTGCCCCTCAAATAAAATGGCCGGTACATGTTACTGAATTCGAACGAATTGTCGGGACTTTCTAAAAAACTATTTCACAATACTATAATAATTTTTAATAATATTGTATTATATCGCGCAGTATTCGACGATTTACGAACGCCATCATAATAATATTGTTTATATACTGCAACTATAATACTCACGATAACATTATTCTTATTATTCCGTAAACCTGGTATATGTACGTCATGACGAACGGTGTGATCAGCGACGAACACAAAAGCAAAACCATTACGCAGATCCCGACGCGCGGGTTTTTAGCGCGAACGTAAACCACGACAATTCCGATGACGAGAAGCTGCAGGAGACACGATATATACCAGCCAGCGATGAGACACTGTAACACCGTAACGAAATTATCATAAATCTTATTACAAGAGAAAATCGAACCGAAAATAATAGTGTATTAAAATATATTAAACTATAAATTATTGTCGTATAATAATATATAGGTACCAGCGTTTTGCCGGGGAGACACGCGATAGTGTTTGCTGCAAGTGAATAAATTGAAAAACTTTTACTATACAGTGAAACAGCGAACGTGAATACGCTAATAGTATATCGTTATAGAATGCAAAAGAACTGTGGATTTCGTTACAAGGAAGTCTAATATCCGCGAACAACTTACGTACTAGAGGAGAATTTTTTTTTTTTTGGCACGACTCAGCACGAGAATCTATTTAAATTTGATCGGAGCGCTGTTAAGCTAAGTATATAAAAAGTTTTTGTAATACCTAATAATATTCAAACGTCGAAGCATGTATTATACTAAGTATACATTGTGTACTCAGTAGTAAGTTATAATAATCCTATTTGTATACATAAATGTACATAAAATTACAATAATATTTCAGATTTTACGAACTTTAGCAAATTATAAACAAAAATAAGTCACATTAGTTTCAACTTAAGTTTCACAGGTGAAATTGGATGAAGAAGACCATGGATAGAATATTATGTACCGCAAAGGCTTAAGGACATGATGGGAATAAAAAGTTATCGAGAGTTGGAGGATTTGAGTTTTAAAAGAGAAACATATAACGTGCAAAAAAGGGCTGCAACTAACCAATCGTAAAATTGAAAAACCAGAAGAAGAAAAACTAGAGATTCAACGATTTTACGCCATCGTGATCGTGTCGGAATTTTTTTTTTTTTTAAGAAATACAAAATAATTTCCCTATTTTTAATAAAAGACAACTGCATTGTAACAGTATTGTACAGTGATGGTGAGGTTGTATTCCTTTTTTTTTTGTACGTTCGACCGACGAATTTTACTTACTATACGTATGTATACCGATGAGAGTATTGTGAACATAAAGTATGGAACCGTTTAATAATTAAATAAATCAACAGTCGACTGATTTATTAACAATAAAAAAATCAAATGGCTTTTAATTTTATTTACTTGATTTTTGACTTTGATAAAGTTGCTAACCGCTAACAAGTTGGCCCACCAATAATTTTTACAATTTTCAGCCTCCGGCCATATCCTGGATGCCCAAAACGGTCCGTCACCCAAATGCGGAATGACAAAAGCCGTAAGTAACATCACGGCCACGTACGACGGTAAAATTCTTTAAAAATCGAAAAACAATTATTTTAACAATAACGTGCACTGATGTGCACCATTTTCATACTACAAAAAAAATTGAATTTTTTTATGTTATTTGTTTTTTTTTTTTTTTCATATGATATAATATAGGTGGTATATGAAAAAAATTGTTACGTATAGGTAGTAGGTACCTCAAATATTTGTAAGCGATTACAGTAGGAATCTGATGCCAATTAGTCGCGGGTTTAGTGAACTGTCGTATCAACAAGACGTACACCAGGTACCCGGTTATGTAAAAAAACGGATCGACCAAATTTAAGCACGTCAATAAGAAATCCGGTCCGACCGTGTAAACCTGAATAGTAATAAAAAAATAATAATAATAATGATAATAAAATCAAACAATGTCGTATGAACGATTATTATTTTATAATATTAATCATGATGAAACTAACATTTAATATTATTCAATTTTAAAACCGCGTTTACACGTATGTAATACTTACCCTCTCCAACATTTTTCCATACATGATCGGATTTATTATTAAATACAAAAATTTATGGCCGAACAGCACCAACACCATTGTTATGACTTTCAGCCCGTTGAAAATGTTCAGCTCGTTGTTTTTATCGTACTTGATCAAATCTCGTCCGTTGCGGATTATCGAGAACGAATTAAGTATTTCCGGCATTTTATCTGCAGTAAAAATAAAAGCGGACGGATAACAACACAATTAAAGGACAATGTGATCGATTAATCGCCATCGCTATAAACACATGGAATGTATACGGCAACGACAACAAATTAATGGACAGTCTGCGCAGTATCTATAATAGTGGTCGGTATAGTAGTAGTCGTATCTTTATTCCCGATACACAATAGGGGGAAAAAAAACCAGCGATGTCCGGCAGCGGAAACGGTCGTTAAAACGTTTGACGGAAACAGACGGTTCTCGAGAGATATTGTCATAACACTTGGTGTTATCATTGTTATTGAACTGGGTGGCGGACCTATGTACACAATAGGCCCGAATTTTCCCGTTCCGTTGCGAGGTGACTGAATACCAGATAATAACAACAATAAACAGCATTTTTAGGGTTAAATTAAAACGCAATTGTGGTTATTATAGTCAACAAGCGGCCTATTCAAATTTACATTTTTTTTAAAAACACCTTATTGTATGTAGCTGATAACAAATCTGCATACAAATTTTATCTTTACTAATAATCGACCATGGTCTGCAGACGTCCTTTTCACATTTGTGATCTGATTTTTTTTTTTTAACAGACTACCTGTCTAATATTTACTTACGAGTTTATGAATATGGTGGATTCGTTAAAAACCAGATTATGCCGACAACATAAATAATGATATGAACACTTTCGATGAACTTAAAATCGACAAAAAAGTGAATACATGAAAATACAAGTTTAATTTAAAAAAAAAAAAAAATAACTTAAAGAAACCATTACATGTATCCCGTATGGGAACTATCGTATTATTACACTCCTGAAAGATTTTAGATTACGGTTTTACAAAGATATTTATTTAAGTATTTATTTTTTTTTTTCTATGGACAACTTTCCTACCAGAGGGCTTGTTCCAATTTTTACGTGTAGCACCTTTTCTGAAAGGATATCAGTGGGAAGAGATACCTTAAAGAGGTCATTTTTCGACTTTTTCAAGAGTTTTCTCATCAAATGTGAAAAACTGAAATAAACCGGGAAAATGTACGAAATATATTTGTATAATATTATGATATTTTTTTTCCGTGGATAACTTTTTTGTCAGCAATTTTTTTCCAACTTTTAATGATAGAAATTTTTCTAAAAGGAAATTTCACTGGGGAGATACTTTAGAGATGTTGTTTTTCAATTTTCTCTGGAGTTTTTTCAACAAATATGAAAAACCGGGAAAAGCGGGTAAATCGGGCAACAATAAACAAATATTATTAAAGAAAATATATAGAGACTATTTAATTATTTTACTATAATATGGCATTTATATTGTTGACAAAACATTACTATCAACTGAACTCCGCTCAGAAACGTTTTTTCATAAGCAATAGTTTATCGTTGCTTACAGGTATACATTAAACTACCTATAGCAGTAGCTGCACTAGTCTCCATTATCCTAAGACGTCTTTTTAACTCTGTATACATTTTTTAGGCATACATATTTTCTATTATAATTTGATAGATATAATAATTACAAATTAAATTTACCACACTGTTAAAAGTTAATAAGCCAATTTTATGTTTACATACCTATTAAAGTTCATGAAAAATTGACTTTTTTCAAGTCACGGAGATTTAGTGTAAATTAAACTTTAGCCAAATTCATTTAAAACCACTACCCATCCACACAAAAAAAACTCCTTAAGCTACGAGCTTTTCGACCTTTCCAAATTTAAAAATATTAAAAAAATTGATTACGTGAAAAATATCATATTATTCTATAATACAAACGGAAAATGTTTTTCTTTACTACTAAACAAAAACACGATTTAAATTTTTACCAAGAAAAATGTGATTAATATTATATACACAGTAGATAGTACGGCCTAATTCAATTTAATAACTTTTTCCCGTTAACCTTTGCATTATTAATTTGATTTTTCACAGCAATGTTACGATTGGTTAAAAAAAAAAAAAAAAAAGCTGAGATAATTAATTTTGTGGAAACTTCTTTGGGTTGCAAGTGTAAATACTTTGATTAAAACAGAAAAATAATATTTGAAAGCTTCAAATATTATATTGCTTTATAATAATATTATAAGATAATTGTGTCTATTGTCTCAAGGGTATGACGTATGGCAGGAATTATTATTAAATTTGTTTGCACGTAGACGTCTGTGTTAAAATTCGATTAGTCTATTGTTTATTACATACGGTACAGTGGGTCGTTTGGCAGTGTTCTTGAAGAGATACGTTTTTGATTTATGTTATAAGATAATTTCCTTCTATAAACTATAAATACTAGCATATAAACTTTATAGTTTTTTGTTTTTTTTTTTATGAATAAATAAAAATAGATATTTTTAGACAATTTTCTTTAGTTGTTATTATTTTTGTTTTTCAAAAATTAAATAAAAAATAAAGTTATGATAAGCAAATTTGTACACGTGGTGCGCAATTCGGACAGACTTCTGTAACACCTGAAATGCAATAATACGGACAGAACCGTCTGTACAAGATGGCATGCGATTCGGACGTTCTGAATTGTGTTAATTTTTTCGGAATGCAATTCTCAATGCACCGTTGTGTTAGTATTCGCAGAAATCGTTTTTCGCGCGGTCCGCCACATTTAATAGGACCATTGTCAGAATTTTATTTACACGGGGTTTTAGAACGCGCCGTTAACTCCGTAGTGCACCAATATTATAATAGATTGTTTTGTGGAAATTTAAAAACGTACGCGTATTTCGATAAAACCACTATAATATTGTCGGGACAAAAACGATATTTTATCAAACAATCGCACATAATAATAATAATAATAATAACGGAGTTTGTACGAAAATTTCAGCACATATTATTCCAGTCGTATAATACGTACGACGGTAATAATAATAATAATAATAACATGTATATTGAATTATCGCAAACAAAAGGGAAGTTTTGCACAACATTCGTACACGGAATAATTACCTGTATTGCCGACAATAAAATAATCGTCAAACGAATATTATATCACAAAGATGACGCACGACAATGTATTTTAACATTACGGTATTGTATGTGTAAATACTCCTCCGCACAGCTCATTGTGGTCGCGGACGTCTACAATAATAACAACAACAATGACAATTAACCGGCTACACGTGTATTTAAAAGGGATGGTTCAGTTCTCGCTTGTAGCCAGCGGGCAACACATTTCTTTTAATGCGTAACTGGATTTTTAATATTTTCCCCCGATACTGGAAAAATCGCCCTACTGTCGTTCTTAATAATCTACGTACACCCGCAGAATACAATAGGCGCCTACCAAATTGAATAAACAATCGTAACTAATTTCGAAGAACAAGAAAAAAAAATATAAAAAACTGTACACTACGATCTCGAGATGAACACACATCGTTTTAAGAACAATACTGAAAGCCCGGAAAAAAAAATGATAACAATGAAATAGAAAACCGTGTCTGTTCCGCAGTAATATTCTATTCCGGTGTACGTTGTAATCATATTACTATCAGCGATTCCTATACCCTGTCTGTCCGTAATACATTCGGTTCCCGGAGAAAATAAAAATAATTTTTTCTAGTAAGTGCCGATGAATAACTTAAAACGTTATAACATTGTATTTTTGTGTTAATACGACAGGCGACTTTATAACTGGGCGTGTTAAACAAAATACATTTTACTTACAGCTCTTTTCACCGCGGTTATTGTTACTCCGGACGATGACGATTAAATGGTATGCCGTCGACAAACAACAAAACAAAAATATCGATCCGACTAGTGAGCTGAAAACGAAATATCATATTGTGAAAGCAATATAGTAAAATAAAGTAAAATATTAACTGGTTGAACAATTATTTGCGTAGTGAATAATATTATCGGACCAAACATATTATTTAGGGATGTGCCGGTTCCTGAAAAACATCGGTACCGGTTATTGTCCGGTTCAGAAAATTGTTCTTTCGGTTCTCGATACCGATACCGACGAATGATTAAAACCAGCGAGACCGCATAAAAAAAAAAAATAATAATAATAATAAGAACCGAAACCGATAAATATCATGCTAGAACCGCTAATATTATCGTTTCTTTCGGTATCTGAAGGACCGAGAACTGGAACAGGCCTACCCCAAATGTTATTACGTTTTGTTAGAATTCCCCTATGATAAAATATGTTATGGATAATATACGAGAGTAACTTAATAAACTTATACAGGTACTTGCCGTATATTTTGAAAACTCTCTACTCACTACAGATCACTGCTCGTCCTTATATAGGTATACGTCAATAATTATGTATGCTGGTAAAGTTTATTAAGTTGATGTGCAACTATACGAAACTAATTTTAATCCCAAACTTAATAATAATACGCGTAGGTTGTATATAGGTATAGTGGAAAATATCCGTATACCTAAACATAATTATTGCAAAAATTAAAACGTTCGGAAAAGGAATATGCATATTGTACGTAGGTACTCGAATTAAAAGTATTATAAGTATGTACCTATTCATATAAAGTATGTATACTGTATTATAACCAATATTGTCTAAACTCAGACCAAACTTAGTTGTGCTTTATCAACATAATTCGTGTTTTACGTAATATTATTTATGAAGGTAGTTTAAATCACTATACAAATATTTTAACAAGTTGCAGCGTACCTATATGCCGTATTCAAGTCAAATATACAGTTTAAAAACGAATTAAAATTATTATCAAGTGTTGGCCTTTGATATAAGGTAAGTACGTATATAAGGGAGGGGGGGGGTGTTAAATTATATTTTGTATCATTACTCCGCGATGCGTCACCGCACTCGTTGAAAAAGTTTAATACATGCGTATTTTTATGAAGAATCATTTTACGGGCTAAGTAAATTAATTTATAGTAAGTATATTTAAGAATAATTTAATAACATAATAATAATAATTTCCACCCCATGATACCCATCCAACGCCGGGCGTCCCTTCTTTTCCTTGGCCCTGTACGCATATTAATTGCTTATACCTATATAGGTGTATAGCCATCCAGTCACCAGTACGTATGCCTGTACAAACAGAAAATATATTTCTTAAGTAATATAATTAAAGTCGTCGTTTGTTACACATATTTTATTGCTCACAAACGTGCTATTCTTCCAATATATTCGATTCGAGCAGCACTACATGACTAATAAATTGTTTTTGGTTACAATGTATTTATAAAATAATAAAATTTTGTGTATGGATTGGGACATTCAAATTTAAACGTTACATTAATTTTTCAGTTTTCAAAACTCTTTGATCGTTTTAAAGCATGAACATATTATAATATGCTATTGGTAACTAATGTTACCATGATAACAATTGTGATAACACCACCGCCACCCGTCTCTTTTTTATCAACGTTTTGTAGTTACCTATTAGTTTTTATAATTTTAATTTAATTCATTTTTCATAATATTTATATACTATTAATATAATGATAATGGAAAACATAAAAAAAATACACTATTCAAAACAACAACCGGACATGTATTTTACTTATCTTTTTAGTTTAGACATAAACTTTTAATAATAAAAAAAAGCTGATACTGGGAATGGGTGCGGCCACTGTTGTGGTGAGAAGTTGGGAAGGTAAGATACATAAGGTTATTTCATTTATATCTGACGTTTATCAACGATAAACCGTTGCTAACAAAAGACGACTCCGAGCGCAGTTTGGTAATACATAATTTGAAGTGCCATCATTTTTTTTTGCGATTTTCATTTAAATTTGATTACAAAATGTGGGCATTCTCTCCATTTTTCAAGTCGCTATAAATATTTTTAACTGAATTACAACAACTTCGTATTCTTCTGGTTTTTCCGAATCATTATGAAATCAAAAAACGACTTTTTCCATAAGATACAAGATGGAACAAAAAATGTCTCTTATCATTTTTCGATTAAAGCACTTTTCCTAATAATAAACGTTTTCCGTACTAATATAAAATAATGATACCGTAAAATTATACGTTTTTCCTATGTTTTTTCCCGATTAGTATAAAAACTAATTCAAAAATACAAAAAAAAGAACTATATCATTAAAAACAAGATTAATAATTCAACAAAAAAGTTCTCTTGTTGATTTTCAATTGGAACCATATTTGTGCTAGAAAATGTGGTAGGTTCTTATTTAAAATCACGAAATCAAGAAAAATTCGTATTTTTTTTGCCGGTTAATCATTTTTATTTTAAATATCGTTCTTAAAATAAAAAAATGACCTATACATTTACCAAGTAGATAAAATTGACTTTCAGAAAAGGTGCTACACTTATATATCGAAGCAAGTTTTCTAGGATAATAGTAGTTTACAATGTATTAAAAACAAATTAATAAAGTATTGTAAAAAAATTAGAAAAAGGAAATTCGATAATTTTGAAAATTTTACCACCTCTATGTAAGTCCAATAAGTATTATTATCAAGTTTTAAGTCTCTACGTGTATTTATAACCGAATAAAAAACTCCCAACAATTGAAATTCCTTAAAAGTTCAAAAGTTTTGGCAATTATACCCCAAAAAATTAAATCAAAATGTCAATAAAAATGGTGTCTTGCGGTTTTTCGATTAAATCATTTTTTCTGGTAGAAAACGTTATCCGTGTTTTTATAAAATAATGAAATCGTGGAATAATACGTTTTCCTACGTTTTTTCCCATTTAAGTGCTTTTATTTAAATAATGGCGTTGAAAATCAAAAAAATGGCCACTTTAAAGTACCATCTAATTAACTAGAACTTTCAGAAAAGTTACTACACGTAAAAATCGGGGGGAAGTTTACTAGGAAAAAACGTGTCCACAGTCTAGAACAAAGAACAAAGAAACAAACACCATTGTAAAACCGCTACGCTCGGAATCCAATTTCAATTAATGATCAATAATATATTTTTAACTTATTACCCTTTCGGAGATAGTTATAGTTGAAAATCTTTCTGGTTCAATGTATGACAATTACGTCATGCATTGAACCAGCTACTTTATTTATAGCTATTTGTTGCGTTAACTAAATCTTAAGTTAATTTATAATTTTTCAAAAATAGATTATCGCATTGAGTTAATGGATCATACTTTAATTTGGATCCGTGCCTTCGATTATTTGCGGCTATTTAATGAGCATTAATCATATTAAAAGCCAATAAAGCTGCGAGATCATTAAACCCTTGCTACAACACGAATTGAATCAGTATAATAACTACCATAATTACAGCGCTATCTATCTGTTAAAAAATTAAATATATTCTTTTTTACAAGGACCATAATAATGTGTATTAAAAACGTAATACAATATTAAATATTGTATTGCGTTTTTTCCATTTGAGATTAGGTGGATATAATATCGTTGGTTTTATAATATATATATTTGTAAATTCGAAATAACCAAGGTTTACCATTTTTCGATTGTTTCAATATGTGTCACGCTTTAAACTGTTTCATTTTTTTATGCAACCGTGTTATTTTATAGTTGTTTCATATTTTGTAGTTCTTATATTTATTTCAATTATTTACCGATATGTGGTAACTGTAACTGATTTTTATCAAGACATTATACCTAATTCCTTATTTCCACGTAGGTACCGCTTATACTTAAAATATGTAATAGTAGTGAACACTAAATATAGTATTTTATTGTACCCGCATACATGAAACTTACACGAATTAAGATATATTTCAAATTCAAAAAAACCTAATTATTTTATTAAGATTTTACGGGAACCTACACTGAGAGTATGCATCATTTGGGTTAATTTCAATGACAACAACTTGTGCACGCGTGGTTTTGTCGCATCAAATAAACATATAAATATATTAAAATGAAGACGTGATCACCTGGTCAAATAAAATCCGGCGTCGTACGGATACTCGTCCTTATCCGTGGAACACAATATCGATTGGACTCGGACCAGAGCTTTGACTCGGTGCGGTAGAAAATGTTTGTCGAACTGCTTTTGCAACGAAATCTCGAGATCGGCAGCGGTGCAAGAGTCGGGTATACAAATACCGAATTTCACGTTGTCCCTGTGTATTCGGTTATCATTATCTACAAACTGAATTACAAATCAACGGTATTTTTTTGTACATTTTCCCGCGATAATAAAAATTACTGCACTGTTATTATATATTGTTATATTGATATAATATATCTGTTTAAATATTTTATACTCCCCCCACCCCCGGGTACATTAGCGGGCTTCCGTGGACCAAAAGACATCAAACTAGAGAAATAATTGTTTTATGGGCGGATTGAAGCGATAACATTTTGGTTGAATTTTAATATGAACCTGTTGTGAGAAGAAGGTGTTTTTTTTTTAACTTTGTACACCCCTACTGCAATTCCCCAAATCAAGCCAGAAGGATGAAATGATGTTGTATATATGTATATGGTATAAGTACAAACAATGCGTCTTTCGGTGGTTCTACTTTTCAACCCCCTCCCCAACCGTTTTTATGTTTATATTTAATGTTTTCACAGGTAATGCCGGATTTTAAAAACCCTTTAAAACTTATAAAAGTAACTCGATTAAAATGAATAGAATTTTTGTCGGGGATGTACTTTTAAAAGGTTTTGAACTTCCAACCCCCGACCCCACCGTTTGTTCAATTCGCCATCATTACCGAAAAGTTATGGGATAACTCGTTTGTCTAGAAAAAGGAGTTGGTAATTGACCATGAAGTGGGAGAGGGTGGAGGGGTAGTCGTGGTTAATGGGTATCAAGTGAATACAAATCACGAATAAATAAATACAAATTTAATTTAATTAAGTACATTATTAACACCAGTGAGCAAATTTCACTAAATGAAAAAAAAATAAACATGAATATTGTATCAGCATTAAGTCGGCTAGGGAAAACTTGACTGTAGTAATATTGCTCATATTGCGTTTTATTTTTTGTCATTTGAGAAGGAATCTGATGTGTAGAACGCAGGGAAAATGTGAAATATAAGCTATATGAAGGGCACACAAAGTAAGGAAACGATGATAAATAATAGTGCCGTCCAGAGGGGTCGAGAGGGCGCTGGACCGATGGATTTTTATTCATAAAGATTATAAATTATTTTTTCGATTTCGTGTAAGTAGGTACCTGAGTTTAGGAAAAATTCGAATTTGTCACAAAAAAAAAAAAAATGTAACCCATACGCAGACGGCTCAATATAATATTATCTATTATTTACTATTATACTTACGTACCCCGAGAATTTCGCGCCACGCGTGATCGTTTCCGGGCAGTTCGCCGTCGGGTTTGCCGAAATCTTCGCCGGTCGCCGTTCCGAGATGGACGTCCGGTATGCAATACTTGCCTCGGACCGGCCGGTGAACTTCGACGCACTCTTCGTAAACACCCATTTGGTGTGTGGTGCCGACGAGTATGCCGTTCGGATATCGGCTCCAAGAATCGGACACTGTGCATAATATTCACACGATAGTAACGTTATCATACGTACATTATTTTTGTCTCCGGCTGATGGCAATTATTATTATTATTATGAATTCATCGCGTCGGTATTAGGCGAGACGATATGATATTATATTCTAATGAAGATCTGATGCGATTTTGTACGCGACAAACGATACGGCGCCTGGACCCGGTTCAAAATTGAATAGTTACAATCGTCATTATATTATTAGTACATTTCGTTACGCAGTTGTTTACTTCTAATATTTTTTCGGAACAAAAAATACGTAACATATTATAATGTAGAGGCATTATTTCGATAATTGCATTTCGATAGTATTTAATTTGACTGTGTCATTATTTTTAATGTATTTGAGTGCTGCATCGGTCTTATGTGTATCTTATGTGCTAGATTCGACATAGCTCGCGTTACGGATAAATTAAAATTAAAATGTTTTACTCGATATAAATATTTTAGATTCCGAGGAGGTATTATAGTTTTATCGTAATGGTTTTTTTTTTCTCTCTGCAGTTTAAATTACCTTTTGATAGCAGAATCTTGCTCCAACCATCAAATATTTAGAGGTGATTTTCGATAGCAAGTCTCGCCATAAACTTTTCCTTAAACGCTAAGGGAGAACTAAATTTTATCGAAAATCTTAAAATCAAAAATACTTTACAATTATATTTCAATTTATACAAATGCAACTTTTTGGGTTTTAGAAAAATGTCCAATATATTGAAATTTGTTATTATTAAATAAATCCACCTAATTTAACTAGCTTTTTAAAGTACTAAGGATTTTTGTTAAACTATTTAAGCTTAAATCAACTCATTTTTACCAAAATATCCACGAAATAACCTACTACGGGGCACCCAGCTGAATAAACCATCAAATCACGTATTGAAAAAAAAAACCTACGCGTCTTCGGATTCATAGAACCATTCCCACGTTGCCACTGAAATTGTAATTTAGTGGTAAACAAAAGTTTAGCGTAGTATATTGGGATGATTTATTTCTATAATCATTTTAAGGTCAAATTCCTGATAGAATTCGTTAAAAACAAGAACAATTGTAGTTTATTTTGTTGTTACAAATTAATAAAGTGTTCAATTTAAATATACCAAAAAAAAATATTTAAATCGAACACTCTGCTCAATCATTTTTTTTTTTTCTATTAAAATTTAAAACTCTGTGGGTATACTAAATATTATATTCCTTCAAATAATTTAAAAATCAGTTGTATACGATTTAATGCTCAAAAAAAAGTATGTTGGGTATATAATCAATGTAGCTTATTAACTACATTTTTTTCTTTTCTTTTTAATATACTTGTAAAATTAATTTATACTCAACTTGGACGAGTAACATATTTCGTGTATTGTTAAAATTAACTTACTATTATCCTACACATTCGGTTTAATTTTATTCGATTATACTTGTTGAAAAGAATACAATAATTTAATGTAAACGTATGCATTTTTCAAAAGCAATAGTGGTAATAGTAGTAGTGAGTAGAACGTGAAGTGCATTAGACGTGATATTTACATGTGGTAAATTTGAATTTGTCGATTAATTATTTCGATAATCTTTAAAAAAAATTGCGCACTATAAGTAATTTGCAGTTGAAAATTTCAATAATTTTCGCTTCCGCGATGTCTTAACTAGGTAGTTGGTACACATAGAACTCGTGTTTGCATATTACAGTTCACGATATTGTTTGAAATTTGATATATTATATTTTATAATTCTTTTACTCACTTTGTACTGCCCACAACGAGTCGTTGGCCAAATGTCTGATATACATTTGCGTCTGTTTTTGACACGCCGAACTGCCCACCGTTTTCATCACGGTAAAGTTGACCAACGCGTCGTAGAACAAATTCGCCACCCACGTCTTGGGGAACCGGTGATGGTTGTCCGTACTGTTGATGATCATGGAAACGCTACTATTATGATGAAAATTACTATTGATATTACTGAAATCTTTGGAATTCGCCGTTGGATCGGGCGAAGAACGTTCAAAATCCCCTGGGATGTAACGAGAAACGTTTCGCTGGTGACCGCCACGACCGGAATTCGCGGGTTCGTCGGAAAACGCCGTACATGTCGACAAAACCGACAAATAAATAAAAAACGTCAAACGAGTACTGAAATGCATCGCGCAACAACGCCGGCTAGAAATGATCGTGTCGATCTATAATAATGCGTACTATACGTTCGGCGTAGACGGTATTTATATATGGACACGCGTATTACAACAACAGTATTATGCATTTAAACACCACCTTGAAAATTCAATTTTTTTTTTTCCCCGTAGCCTAAATTTGACGCGTCTCCATATCCCATTATTTATGATATTAAATATTATATATCGCACCTATAAGTAATAGAACTGTCTGTATACGTGTTTAAAATCAAATAATTGTTTGTTCGAGGATATCGACTTGTTAATAGACGTACCTATACAATAATTATTCGTTTCTAGTATTATTATACTTACCAGGCGGTGTGTATTTAAGTGGCTACACTCGAAAAGTATTGATTACTTTGTTCACGCAATTTCCTTCTTTTTTTTTTTTCAAATAGCAATTTATATTTAAAATTCTATAAATACTGGTAGAATATTAGTTTAAATAAATGTTGGTGTAGTCGTTTTTTTATTTCCGTAAAACCGTTGACGAGATATTCCGCTTTTAAGTTTGAATACTTTTCGAAATATCAAGTGTAGCTATTTAAATAGATCGTCTTGTCTATTGCAGACTACGTTACATATAAATTAGAACAGTTAAAACTATACGCGCAGATAATTTTCAAAATCCACAGTATTATAAAGACTACATATTGTATTCAATACTTCACCACTATATTCACATACCTGCGGGAAAGTGAGGGGGCTTCAAAAATTGCAAATCGCTTTAAATAACTTAAAAAACATCAATATATATATTTGCAAAACTGTACTCCACAATTCTAGAAAGTATATCGAAATTAAGTGTATTTTATGAAAATTATAGGTCTCTACGATTATAATATATCACTCAGTTAAAAAATTAATTCGTATTGAAGTTTTTGCTTCGTCACGTATTATCATAATACAATTTACAATCTTGCAAATAATTTTATCCTTGGTAGTCCGAAAGTTTAAAAACAAATATAAACTATGCTGATTACGATTGACTTGTATTAAGTTATAATGTCAACTACCGACACCAGCCAATACTTGTACTCGGACATAGGTTTCGACGCCATTGATAAATTGTGAATTACTTTAAATTGTGTATTCGACATACAAAAATCGGGAGTTTTGAAATCGGTCGGACGGAAACCCTCCCCCGCATTATAAGCATCCACGAGAAAACAATAATATGTTCAATAGTCAATAGGAAATACTATATGTATAAAACCTTTTCAATAATTGAATATAATATGTGTATAATACGAGGTCAGTTATACGCAGTAAATTTGTATGGGAGTTGCAATAAAAACAGTAAAGTTATTATGGAAGGTCTGGAAACTCAATAACACGTTACTTTGGCATGGTGGCGTATGAACGTATATTTTGCGAATTGTATTATTTCTTTATATACAAGAATGTATACTCCGAGAATAAAACCAAAAGTGACTCGGAGTCCAATATTTAATTAATATCGAAACCGGTAACGTTTTATTACGAGTGCTTTACTAAAAACCAGTGGCGAACGCTGCATAGGGGTTTTTTGAGGGTTGAGGGTTCAACTCTCTACGAAATACAAATTATACTCTTTTAGTTTGTACTTAAATTTTAAATAATAAATTCGATTTACTGTAACGATACAAAGGTCAAATGCAATAGATGTTTTTTACAGCGTTTAACGGATATACCTAACCCCTGATGTTAAAATCAACAGTCGAATACACATTCCTGTAGCATTTTGGATAGATATACTTATTAGGTTTATTTCGAAACGGCTGCAGTCTATACATAACACATACATCAAATATTTGACTACAATTCTGTTATATTTACGATGGAAAATATGAAATGTGTTTCGAGCAATGTGAATAAAATAATATTATTATTAGTCTAATGCAGGTAACAGCTATAATATAGGAGGCCCGGAAATGAACGCAGGTGGTACTTCAAAACGAGTCTTCTTATTTTAATTTTCCAGAATTTAAAATAACATACGCTTTCCCGAAAATTGTAAAAACGGCGAAAAGAGCCATAAACAATTCTTTAAATTAAATTTATGAGCTACACTCGGGGTAGGGATCGTTTTTCGATAGCACTATACTAAACTGTTGCGTTCAAGTTTTAAAGTAATAATAATGTAATAGTATACTGTGGCATAGCTACCTACTATAATAATATTGTACATACCGAAATCGCAGTGAACCGGAACAAGTGCCCAACGCGCGGTCCTGTGCGTTACTTTTTTTTTTTATTTTATTTTATTATTATTACTAATATATTATCCTACACAGTTATTGATTTCGGTATATTATTTGGAAAATATAGTTTCCGGGGAATGTAAAATTATTTATGTGTTTCGCTTTTTATAATGTTTCCCCGCGCTATACAAGAATACATTTCATAATAGTGTAATATAGTAAGTGATACGGTGGTAATCTAGTTTAATATTCGGTATAGGTAATTTTTGAAAAATATTTTTAATTGAACGGGGTTTCTTGTAGAAACATAATGTCAGATGAGACTATAAAAGTTATTATTTTCTTATAAAAAAAAAAATCCTTTCAGATTTTTTTTTAATTTAACTTTGTATTAAAAATTAAAATTAATCATTTTTACAATATATTTATTTTTTTAAAAATGTTAACGTCGGCTCATCATATAGATGCATAATATATACCGAGTGATTCTTTTATCGATGAACACTCATGATTTCAGAAAGTATTCATTTATTTTTGAATTTTTATTTTCAAAAACTTAAGAAACAAATAGTTTTTAAATTTTCAATTATCAATTATTTGTTTGTGTCACCCTTATTTTTGGGGGTGGAACGACTATCTAATTTTGATTTTCAAATGACAATCTATATTGAAAATGCCATAAATAGATAGGAATTTAGTTTGAAAAAATTTTGTGCGAAATTTTTGATTTCCATTCACGAGATATTCCACTTTAAGTTTTGGTCGGGGAAGAGTAGTGGAGTATCATTTGTATGGTAGCACGGCGCACGGTTTCTTAATAATGCATCACTACTCTCCCCCGACCAAAACTTAAAAGTGGAATATCTGGAATTTTTGAACATCCATTTACCATAGAAATATAAACTTTACCAACAGAACTTCAGCTTAAAGTCATCGAGCTCAAATCAAATAACCATTCCAAAAACTATTTCAAGGAAACTACACTCCAACAACTTTACACTATGTTGCCTGAGGAATATTATCCAAATCAGAAAAAATATGTACGTGAAATGATTTCAATATTTAGCTCCACCGACATATGAATAGACGTTTTCAATAATAGAAAACACGTTAAATATAAATATAGAACCATCTTAAGTAACGAACATTTATAAGAAACGCTGTTGATTGAAACAACAAAGTTTGATACAAACTATCAAGACATTTTAAAAGACAAGCAATTTCAAATTTCTCATTTAGTAAATTACTCGTATCACAATAAAATAAATTTAGAATTATAAAAATAAAAAAGACGTCCTAGGATAATGGGGTCGGGTGCAGTCACTGTTTTAAGTAATTTAATGTACACCTGTAAGTAACGATAAACCATTGCTATCGAAAAAAGTGATTCTAAAAAAAGTGCAGTTGATAATGTTGCTTTGCCAACAATATTTATATCATATTATGGTAAAATTCCAATTATTTACATTCCAAAATTAAAATGGATCCCTTTTTTCCCGTGTTTTCTCAGTTGTTTTTTAGTTTTTTACATTTGATGTGAAACTTATTGAGAAAATCGAAAAATGACCTCGCTATACCGATTTTCTTTCAGAAAAAGTCTTACACATGAAAATCGAAGATCGCTGGTAGAAAAATTGTCCACAGAACAAACAAAAAAAAAAAAATAATAAACATCTTCGTTAAAACATAAGCTTCTCTCCACTCAGAATCGAATAGGCCATCTATCTTTCAATTTCATGACCTTAAAATGTTGGCCCACGATGTCAAAGCGTATCTCAGATTAAAAATGTGCTTTTGGTGCGCTATGTATTTATTATAATTAATAATATTACGGTAAAAAAGCGTTTATTTGGATTAGTCATTTATTTTAATTACTTCAAAACCACGGAAAGGGCTTATAAATTATTCATGTAGGTACATGTACTTATTTATTTATTTGTATTAATAATTAACAATGACTAACATTTTTTTTATTGATTTTAAGTTTAGTTTTTATCATTTATCCTCTATTATCGGCAATATCATTGTCTGCGTGTATGTAAGCAGGTATGTATAAGCGCCGGTCCTATGTAAAAAACATACAAACATTTTATTATGTTACTATTGTTAGTGAGCGGTTAATTTTACAATATTTTGTGCGCAATCAAATGGTTCATTCTATAGTATGTTACGCGCAATCGAGTGGTTCCTTCCAGAATATATTGTACGGAAACGGATTTCAGGTTTTCGCAGAGAAACTTTAAAATATACGCAAACTAGCTGTAGCCATTATGAGAGCGAGGAAATGTGGAGGGAAATTTGTATGCAACTAGAAGAAAAAAAGAAATCTAATACTGAAGACGGGTGTGGCCACCGTTATGGGTGGATTGTTGAAAAAGTGGGAGTAAAGGTATTTTGGTTACATAATTAATATCATTATTATCGAGTGAATTGTCCGTAATATTATCAAAAGGAAATAAACTCTATCATTAAAATGTATACATCAACTTATTGTGTACATTTATTTAGAAAACATTCGGATTATTTTTAATTAAAGATATTTTTAATTATGTTTTATGTGTATACCTTATGCAATATACACAGAACATAGAATTATATTCCGAAGTTTACACATTAATATTTTAACTGATTTTGCTCGACGTAAAATATAACACTGGGGGTACTTAATTAGAAAATCTATGAATAGGTGAGTACTTTATGTACGCACTTATCAACAATGCGTATTGGTACCTAGGTATTTACACTTAGAAATTATAATTGTACAGCTATAGGATCGATTTGCATTTTAAACGTTAATTAAAATTAACAAAACAGGGAAAATTATTTGAATATTTCTA